AAGGTCTACCATGTGGGCCCTCACACAGTTTCTGTGGACCACTTTTCTTCCTGTGCATGGGCTCTACTTCCCTATTTCTTTACATGTCTTTATTTTGTTGTTGAAAATTTGACATTTTAGGAACTGGAGTGTATTATGCTGAGTGAAGTAAGTCAATTGGAGAAGGACAAACATTATATGGTCTCATTCATTTGGTGAATATAAAAAATAGTGAAAGGGAATAAAGGGGAAAGGAGAGAAAATGAGTGAAAATATCAGTGAGGGTGACAGAACATGAAACACACCTAACTCTGGGAAACGAACAAGGGGTGGTGGAAAGGGAGGTGGGAGGAAGGTTGGGGTGACTGGGTGATGGGCACTGAGGCGGGCACTTGACGGGATGAGCACTGGGTGTTATGCTATATGTTGGCAAATTGAACTCCAAAAAAAAAAAAAATTGAACTCCCAAAAAAAAAAATTGAACTCCAATAAAAAAAATAAAAAAAATTGACATTTTAGATAATATATCGTAGCACCTCTCTATTCTGGATTCACTACCCATCTCAGGGGGTGTTGTTACGTTTGTTTGTTATTTGTTTAGTGACTTGCCTGGACAAATTTTATAGAGGAGATTCCTCTATAGTATGCAGCTGCTTATGTCTCTGTTGTTTTAAAAAAATAAAATCTTGTTTTAGCTTTTAAGCCAGCTTCCTGGGAATCACCTTTGGATTAATACAACTTAATGGTCAGCCAGTGACTGAACAGGAATTGCACTTAAATACTTGGAGTTTTTTGTTCTTAGCTGGTATTTTGATATATAGTTTAGGGACTGCATTCGAAGTTTATACAGTCTGTAAGAGACAACTTTTACCAACTTTTACCTTCTGATTAAACAGGCCTCATATTAATTAAACAAGCTATGAGTAGACAGGGTTCTCTCGGATTTCTTTTGAACATGTGTGTAGCCTTAAGCAAGCCTACTAGCTGCCAAACCACTAGGGATATGTATGAGATTTCCAAGGACCACTATGCCTCCTGCATCCCAGATGGCTATATGTTTCTAGCTGTTCTGTTAGTATGTTGCTTGCACCAACCAGTGGGCAGGACTGCCTGGCCTTCCTGGATGTTTGCTATTGTTCCTGGACTCTCCTACTGTTTTGAAAAAACTCTTCAGCATGAGTTTTCCCATATTCCAAAAATCAAATCAGCTCCCTCTAGCAGCAAGGCTGCTGGTCCTTTGGTCTACCACACCTTGGTAGAACTACTACATCATGGAACAGAATGGAGAGAATGAAAACAACCCTAAACCAGGCTCTGAAAGTTAGGGCATCCCAGTTGTTCCTACTAAAGTTGAGTAGTTTTTCTTGAGGAAATACTACTTGTATATCTTTTTTTCAATTTCTAGAATTCCCAAATGGTTGTTTTGAAAATGTTTAGTTTTACTGCTTCTTTTTGGTGAAATGATTTGCTGAACTTCTCACTTTGCCATTCTAGAAGTCCCACCATATTTAGCAATTCAGTAGTTTTTTTTTAAAGTTGCTAAAGGCACCAAAATTGATATGTCAAAACCAAGTATATGCTTTATAACACCTCTTTCTAAAAATCCCACGTATATAATAATAAAGAGCCCAAAGAGAATGAAAGTTTAACAGCACTGAGGATGGAAAAGGAATTTCCACTTGTCAGTGGACCAGAAATTCCGACAAGTAGAAAGCTTATGGGGTCATGTTGACAGATAAACCAGAACTGAGAACAGACACTAGAGTTATGATACTTGAAAAGGGAAGAATGGACAACACACAGAAGTCATAATTCATCTTGGCAGGAACTGTGAAAACACCTTGTGTAATGGACTGAAGTTTTAAGTCCTCTCCCAAATTCGTCTGTTGATATCCTAACCGCTGATGTGGTTGTATAGGAGATAGGGCTTTGGCCACGAGAATAGAGCCCTAATGAGGGAGAGTAGTGTTCTTATGAAAGATAATGCAAAGTGCTGTCTTCTCCTTTCTGCCATGTGAGTACACAACAAGAAAATAGCCATCTATGAACCAAGAAGAGGGTTCTCACCAGACACTAAAAACTGCTGGTGCTTCCTGATCTTGGACTTCCAGACTCCAGAACTGTGAGAAATAAATTTCTGTTGTTTATAAGCCACCCAGTCTAAGGTATTCTGTTATAGCAGCCTGAACTAAGATACTTTGTTGGATCTTGATTCTACTCCATGGGAGAAAAATCCTTTCCTCTAGTCCTCTGGGGTCCTGGCTTTGCCTTCTGAAATAAATTTTCCTTATCTATTATCCTCTAGGCCACATCTGAAGTTGACTTTGGAAAGTGGGCCTCTTTGGAGGTTGTACAAACTTCACAGCCTGCTTTCTGATGATGCAAGTTTGGGGGCCTGGTGGTTGTTTTAGAGATTGAAAAGTTACAGGCATTTTCAGGCCAGGCTTGTGGTTTTGTTGAGAATTCAATTCCATCAAAATTTAGTAAGCTTTCAGTCTATTTACTACCAGTTGGTTCCATGTCAAAATCTCTTCTGGTCTAAGTTCTTAAGCCTGCCAAGTCTCTTATTTTATTTTTTCACTTCTATACATAGCATATTTCCCTGTTATTTTAATGGTGGCTATTGTAAGATCATATAAAACTATAGGCTAGATTAGGAAAACAATTCCTCTACTTTGACCTTTGTTACAGGGCCATTACTATCCAGATGAATCATCTTAAAGAGAAACTTTTGAAAGGGCACTGACCAAAGCACTGCTTAGTGGGGCATAGTTGCAGTTAACTTTCACAACTCTGAGGGTCCAAATTATCAGATTTTATATTTAATTTTTATTGCAAGCCACAGTCAGAGAATGTAATGCCCTTAACTTCCATTTCTATTTGTACACAAGTTAATTCTTGCCTGATAGATCTCTCATGGTACCTAGATAAAAGCAACAAGGACCAACAATGCATAAACACACTGAAATTCTTCCTACCTACCCGCCCCTTTCTGGACCACTTCTTTTAGAAATCTATGGCACAGCAGGCACATGATCTGCCTTCCAAGTTCCCAGAAGTAACAGCTTGGGGTGGGGCACTGGGTGGCTCAGCTGAGTGCCTGCCTTTCGCTGGGTTGTCCTGGGACTGATCCCAGCACTGGGCTCCCTGTTCAGCTGGGGTGGGAGGGGGGACTGCTTCTGCCCCTCCCCGCTGCTTGTGTGCTCACTTGCTCATGAGTGCTGTCTTTCAAATAAATAAAATGTTAAAAAAAAAAGTTACAGCCTCACCAAATATTTCACTATGATATTACAAAAGTCACTGGCTGTCTTACCTTCAGTTATCTTTCCTTGTGCCCAATGACTGATAGCTTAATGGACTTCACATTTTAGGTTTTTGTTATGGCAGTACCCTACTAGTAGCAATTTTTATATTATTTAACATCTAGAATAAGCTGCTATTTTAAAAAGGCACAAAAAATTAAGTGACTCAAACAAGACAGGGATTTTTCTCTCTTGTAACAGTTCAGAGTGAGACATCTCTCCTTCCTGAGGTCATCCAGAGACCCAGGCTACATAATTCCTTAGGAGGTGTCCCATCTTTGTGGTGGGATATTATCAGGAGCACCACAACTGTGATCCAGCTTACAGGAAGAGGAAAAAGAAAAATGGTTGGCAAATATTTTCATTTTAAGAAAAGACTTGAATGGATATTTCACACTTCTGCTCACATCCCCTTGACCTGACATTTTTCACATGGTAACATCTACCTGTGGGGTAGACTGGGAAAGAACAGTTAACTCCGGTTAGGTATTCATGGACACAGCTAAAACTTGGGGATTCCTTTACTAAAAGGAGTAAGAGCTGGACAGATGCTAGGAAACAGTCTCTGTCACAATGGGGGTAAAAAGGTTCAATATAAACATGTACCATTGAATTTTTTCTTTTTTCCTAGGTACATGTATTAATTTTATAATGATTGCAAAAAAGAAGAGGTTTCTGAAATAGTAACTATTTCAGGCTAGACCTACACCCTAAATATTTGACTTTGGAAAAGGAAACAGTACAGAGCAGAATTTTTTCATCTTTGTATCCAAACATAATTCAAACATAGAGACAAAAACAAAACAAAACAAAACAAAACAAAACAAACAAACATAGAGACAATTGCTCATTGAGAAATACACCAAAATTCTTTAGACAGTTACACGTTAAAAAGCTGTATTGGGGGCACCTGGGTGGCTCAGTGGCTGAGTAACTGCTTTTGGCTCAGGTCATGATCCTGAGGTCCTGGGATCAAGTCCCCCATAGGGCTCCCCTTAGGGAGTCTGCTTCTCCCTCTACCTATACTATGCCTCTGCCTCTCCCTCTGTCTCTCATGAATAAATAAAAAAAATCTTTAAAAAAATAAAAAGCTCCAGTTTTATAAACTCATAAAATCACATAATATTAGAGCTAAACTTAAAAAAAAAGGACACTTTGCCCTATATACATAAGTAAATGAAGACTCAAAGATGTAAAACAAATGGCCCTACATGAGAAAGGCAGTTACAGATCCAAGATTAGAATCAAATTCTACTGACTCATTGGATATATACCAACTGAGAAATTTTTTGAAGCAGAAATTTCACTGCAATTTTTAAAATAGTATGCCAATTAAGAAAAAATAATTATTCATGGTTAATGTACTATAATTTTCAATTATATGACAAATGATAAAGACACACATTTAAGAAATATAACATGAATTAGATTATACTTTTAATACTAATTTGTTTCTCAGAAAATAATATGCAAGCTAAAATCTGCCCCAATTGGCCAAGTTACTTTTATTTCACTATTATTATTTCAAAACATATTTATCCACCCCAGATAATAATATAAACAAAGTATGAGGTCAATTTTCCCATGTTTTGAAGGGTATAACTTGACAAAGTATACATGGTAATTTGTATGTTTTAAACTTAAGTCTCTTCCAAAAGTAAGTTGTCTTTTGTTTATGAGAAACCAACTCAACTCATAAAATCAAGAAACACATCAGATGTAAACAGCACATTTAGAGTTTATTTATTTGTACAAACCCAAATCAGATTTAAGGGCACTTTTAAGATTACCTAACTAACATATATGTTACATTAAAAGTAAATAAGGAATTTACTGTAAGTTTTATTAATTCAACAAATATTAACTGAGCATATCCTTTAGGCATTATACTACCAATGATGATGTGAAAGCAGAGAAATTATTCAAATGGATGTAATATAGATATTCACTAAAACAAATAAGTCACCAGTTAGAAGGTACTATTGGTAGCATTATGGGGCCAGGTACTCTGATACTTTTTTAAAAGGATATGCTGGGGAACTAGAGTTTAAATGTTCCATTGTAAGTCAAGATCTCAAAATACAAAATGTTTTTGTGTTAAACACAAAAATGTTCCAAAGTCTTAAAGCAGTGGTTCTCAACTAGGTATGATTTGGCAATGTCTGGAAATATCTTAGGTTGTCACAACTAGGGAGATGCTACTGGCCAGACAGTGGGTAGAGGCCAGAGATATTGTGAAACACCCAACACTGCATAGGACAGCCCTCTACAACAAAGAATTAGCTGGCTAAAAATATCAATGCCAAGGTTGAGAAACCCATGCCTGAAGTAATTTAAGTGATTTAATGAGCACTAATTTCTTCTCTGAAAGACATAATGGTACGTAAGTGTATCTTCATAAATATGAAAAATGATATAGATACAACAAAGATTATATACTTTACATGAAATTGTGACATTACTGTGTATTTTAACTAAAAATACTAATGGCAAATTTTTGTGAATGGAGTTATACTGACCTTTCTTACACATACAGTGATTTTTATCTTCTTGTGATTTTTTTTTAAAGATTTTATTTAGTTATTCAGGAGAGACACAGAAAGAGAGGCAGAGACACAGGCAGAGGGAGAAGCAGGCTCCCTGTGGGATGCCTGATATAGACTTGATCCCAGGACCCTGGGATCACACCCTGAGCCAAAGGCAGACGCTCAACCACTGAGCCACCCAGGCATCCCTTTCTTGGATTTTTTACAGTGAAAACATTTCCTTCATTTTTTTCAAGAAATATTTAATGAACATCAATTTCTAGATATTCTATATAAGGTGCTGGACTGAAAGTTCAAATAACAGCTTTGTTAGAGAAACAGACATGTGAACAAAAATTACAATTCATATGACAAGGGTTATTATAGAGGAATAAATAAGCCACAGTATGGTAAGACAGAAGAGGGAGTGATGATTTCTGTAGTTGTTGAGGGGGGGTTTAGGGTAAGAGAAGAATATTAAAGACAGCTTCCCAGAAAAACAAATGCTTGATCTGAATATTTATATCAGAAGACAGGAGGGACCTGTATGTATGTCATGCTACATAAAGAATTTCTTGGGATACCTGGGTGGCTCAGTTGCTTAAGCATCTGACTCTTGATTTTGGCTCAGATCATGATCTGCTTCAGATTCCCTCTCTCCCTCTCCTTCTGCCCCTCTCCCCGGCTCATGCACACATTGTTTCTTTCTCTTTCAAAAAAAAAAAAACAAAAAAACAAAAAACAAACTTCTTTTTATCAGTAACAGGCTTACCAATCATCTTTTTAAAAAATATTTTTATTTATGTACTTATTTGAAAGAGAGAAAGACAGCAGGGGTATAGACATAGGGAAAGGGAGAGAGAGAATCTCAAGCAGACTCCCCACCAAGCACAAAGCCTGAGATCATGATCTGAACCAAAATCAAGAGTGGGACACTTAACTGACTGAATCACCCAGGTGCCCTGCTGATCATCTTAATGAAAAGGATTCAGGCAAGGTAATATCATAAGAAGTTATGATTTTATAGAAATCACTGAGCACAGCTGGAGAATGGCCAGGCAGAAGAGAGAGATATAATTAGGACTCAGATTCAAGGTGATAAGACTCTGGAACAAGGCAGTCATCCAGTGGGGTTGGGAGAAGGAGGAGATGAATGAAGAGATGTTCTTTTTTTTTTTGTTTATGATAGTCATCACAGAGAGAGAGAGAGAGAGAGAGAGAGAGAGAGAGGCAGAGACACAGGCAGAGGGAGAAGCAGGCTCCATGCACTGGGAGCCCGACGTGGGATTTGATCCCGGATCTCCAGGATCGCGGACTGGGCCAAAGGCAGGCGCTAAACCGCTGCACCACCCAGGGATCCCAAATGAAGAGATGTTAAGAAGAATCAGCAGAACCACAGTCAGAAGATACTTCCTGAGCATGTTGATATAAGAAAACTGTCGCTAGAGCAAAGAAGTTAAGACTAGTCCGTGCTGGGGAATGCTAAAGTAGGCCAAAGTGAACATGTAAATATTTATAATATAAAAATTGCCATCAATTTGATGTATATATAAAATACAATAAAACCAAATAATTTAACTTCATTTCATCTTAAAAATAAAACTGACTACAGAATACTTTAAAATACTAGTGTCAAACTTGAGGATCCCACTCAATATATTAAAGGTCATCACTACTGTCTTCAACAAGATAAAGGCTGAACAAATGGAAAATCAACCACTCTCCCTGGATTCTTCAAAGAACTGTGGTAACAGGGCCTAAAACTGCAGTTTTGCCCCTAAAACTGGAAAGACAGGCAGATACAGAGAATCACAGCTTCCCAGGAGCAGGAGCCAGCAGCTGCAGTTAATTTTAGTAGAAATTCTTTAAGTTGTTATTGATGACTTGCTCTGAGCTCAGGGCAGACCAGCCTGAGAGTTAAAAACTGCAAGGGGGCCCTGCCTTTGGGGGGTGGGGTCCACATTCTCAGGTTTTACTTCCAGTAGCTCTACCAGGTTCTCACTGTAAAATAACAGAGAAAAATCCCCTCCTGCTTCTGGTAGGGGGAGTGGTAAACATTTTGGAATACACCCAGAGTTCTTTTCTTCCTAACAAGGCCTGCCCTCAAGGGAAACTATTTTACCAGAGCCTAATGGACTGGGGTTTTACTAAAGCCTAAATGACCTGGGGGAAGGGAAATACCCCACTCAGTCTCTCTAAAATACTGACATATAACCATCAGAATGTAAAAGGCTTCCCCTCTTCCTACACTTTACCACATCAACAGGGTTCTGATGTAATAACTGCAGCTAAAAGAACTGTAAGTTTCAGATCCTATTAAAGAATCTCCAGGAAAACCCAAAACAACAGAGGAGACAAAAACAAGGACAAACAGGAAATTTCAGCCTGTAGCACCACAACCACAGTAAACAGTAAATACAGTCTAATTCGTAGCCAAATAAACATAAAACCTCACACTAAAGGCCCATGTAATCTCAGTTCCTTTTATCACGTCTTGCTTTCAACAAAACATTACAAAGCATGCTAAAAGGCAAGGAGAAAAAAAAAAAGCCAGTCTGAAAAGATAAAGCAAGTGTCCTATCCAGACTCAGATATGGCAGAGACTTAGGAATTATCAGGCCAGAAATGTAAAATGGTTAATATGCTAAGAGATATAAATTAAAAAGTGGATAACATGTCAGACTAGATGGGTCATATAAGCAGAGAGATGGAAGTTCTACGGAAAAATCTAAATGAAATGCTAGAAAATGAAAACATTTTAACAGAAAGGAAGAATGCCTCTGATGGGTTTCCCAAAAGATGAGACAGAGCTAAGGAAAGAATTTGTGAGCCTGAAGAAAGGTCAGTAGAAAATTCTACAACTGAAATGCAAAGAGAAAAAGAAAACAGTGGAAAAGAACAGAATATCCAAGAACTGTGGGACAGTTTCAAAAGGTGCAACACATGTAATGGAAATACGAGGAGAAGAAAGATAAAGGAACAGAAGCAATATCTGGTCATATTGACTGAGAATTTTCCAAATGAATGACAGACACCAAACCACTGATCTAGAAAACTCAGAGAACACAAGGAGGATAGATACCATACACTCTACACCTAGACATACTATATTTGAATTACACAAAGTCACAAAGAGAATCTTGAAAGAAGCCTGGGAAATGAGATAAGAATTAGATTTTATTTCTTTTCTGGAAATATACAAGCAAGAAGAGAATGGAGTGAAATATATGAAGTGCTAAAAGAATAAAAAAAACACTAACCTAAAATTCTGTATACAGTGAGGTTATCCTTCAAAAGTGAAGGGGAAATAAAGACTTGGTAAGGCATACAAAAATGGAGGGAATTTATCTCCAGTAGACCTGCCTTACAAGAAATGATAAAAGAAGTTCTTCAGAGAGAATGAGAATAATAATAGGTCAGAAACCTGGATCTACATAAAGAAGGGAAGAGCATTAGAGAAGGAATAAAAGAAGAGAATGTTTTCTTTTTTTTATTTTTAATTGACCTAACGGAAAACAGTTTAAAATAACAATAGCAAGAATGTATTTGGTGATAATATAGCTTATGGACTAGTGAAATGAACTGACAGCAAAGTGATGAGGGACAGGAGGGAGGAAGTAGACATGCTGTGTTATAAGGCACCTGCACCACCCATGAAGCCGGACAGTATTATTTGAAAGCAGGCTTTTATTAGTTGCAAATATATATTGCAAACTCTGGAGCAACTTTGTTAAGAAAGACGTATAACCGACATGCTAAGAGAGGAGAGAAAACTGAATCTTATAAAACGCTCAATTAAAACCAAAAGAAGGCAGAAAAAGAGTAGAAAGAGAAGAAGAAGAGGAGGAGTAGGAGGAGGAAAAGAAAGAGGAGGAGGGACGCCTGGGTGACTCAGTGGTTGAGCGTCTGCCTTCAGCTCAAAGCATGATGGGGGGCAGGGGTCCTGGAATAGAGTTCCACATTGGGCTCCCCAAGGGAGCCTGCTTCTCCCTCTGCCGATATCTCTGCCTCTCTGTGTCTCTCATGAATGAATAAATAAAATTTTTTAAAAAAGAAGAAAGTAGAAAAGAAAGAAACAAAGCATATGCAAAGCATATAAAAGTTATGCACTCCACAGCCCATTGTGGGATGTGGAGCAGCGAGAAACCATGGTCCCAAAGCTGTAACGAGTGTCCAAATCACTTCTGTAGAAGAAAAACAATCTGTGAAGTGTGCCTCCTGATGCTTTCCCCCTTTAAAATGTGTCACTCTTCAGAGATTCAGAAATAGCAAGTTCTACTTTGAAAATACTTTCTGGGATTCTGAGAGAGTGGAAGTCCGTGGCTTCCAATCCAGTAATCCAGGTCATAGTCTTTAGAGCTTCTGTGTCCCGAGGTCTATAGCTGGTGAAGTTTCATTCTCCCAGGTCATTTCTGACACTTTCTCCTTTCTCTCTGGGAAAGAGGAGAAGAGGGTGTATGTCTGGTCTCTCTCTCTTTAGCTCCAGTTAATAAGGGGGTTTTTACCTTTTCAAGTTCTTCTCATTTACCCTAACGGTTACAAAAGAGTGATGTGGAACTTCCATATCAGAATCACCTAGGATGATATAACTATATCATATCCTACCCATATAGTTAAAGGGAGATTCATGGGTTTTGCCCAAGAGCTACTGAATCAGACTCCCAGAGAGTGAGCCCAGGAATCTGTACTGCTGGCAAATGTCACAAGGAACTCTTACACACACGGAAGTCTGCATTTGAGAACCACTGCTTTAAAATAGAGTTCCTTTAGAGCTGGGGAAAGGGATGAGGTTAAAAGTCATTTCTCCTTATGTTTGGAGTCAATATACTGCTAGGAGAATTTGCCCCTAACCACCTGCTGAATATATCTGCTAAGGAAATATAGTAAATGCTCAAATATTGAGTGTTTATTGAAAGATTACCTGAGAAGCATAACACCCTATTAAGTTCTATGCTTAGCAAAACATTTTGATTCTTCTAACCTAGATAGAAGTCATTTCATTCTAAATTAAGTTTTAAAAATTTTATGGCCTTATATGTCATGAGTACAGAATAGCTATCATTTTAAAACTATGAAAGTACAACATGCCAAACTTTATTTATTTATTTATTTATTTACTTATTTATTTACCAAACTTTATTTAGATGATAGGCTTGCTCTAATGCAGGCCATCAAAAAAAAAAAATCACTTGGGCTTCCATATCAGTTAAATATGGTTTAAGAAATTCCTGCAAAAGAAAAATAAATGGTTGAAAACATAAGCAGCTATGGAAAATGTAAATCTAAAAAAAACCAAAAAACTTACAAAGAGTTATAATAAGGATCCAAAAGAAATGAATAGATATGTCAGCAAATCCTATGCGTTGAGGTACCGTAAGGGTAGTGGAAGGGGCTAGGGAACTGGCAGAAGGGTGTATTCATTAGGATAAACCAAAAGAGAAAAAAGATGCCTGGGCTCAGAACATAGAGGCCTGCTCATCAAACCCTCCCAAGAAACAGAAAACCAAAATCCACAAAATGCTGATTAGTAAGGGAGAAGATAAGAGAAACAGGTCTTTTACTGGGTTATTCAAGTACTAGGTCCATGAGTCACACACAGACTATGTTATATTACTATGCTACTTTGTAAAGGCTTCTTAAAGTCTAACATCAGTAGCCAATCAAAACTGTATCATCCCATCAGTGTCTGCAGGAAAGAAGGACCTGGCTTGATTTTTACTTCTTTACATTCCCCACTTGGGGAAATGGGAGCTTGGAAAACCTTTGCTTTGGAAAACTTGGGAAACTAAGTTAGAGCCTACTCTTGTGTTGTTCTTTGTGGAAGAAAAAAAATGGTAAGGAGTAAATAGAAGCAATAAATAATCATTCCCCAGAAGCTTTCCTTTTCAGGGCACTGTGCCACTTAGAAGAGAGGCACAGTGCTCATTCCTACCCATCAATGTGTGTGTGTGTATGTGTGTGTATTTTATCTGCACGTTTTGTGTGTATGCATGTGTGCAGCTATGTATGTGCAACAGTGTGTGCATTAGAGGGACATGGATGGTACTTAACAACTGTTAATTTGGAACTTACCTTGCATCTAGCAACAGCAAGTTATATACCCATGTGAGTGCTGTCACTTAGAATATGGAATGGAGTGTTAGGTTCTCAGCAGAGAAGAAAAAACAGAGATAACACATGCACATACACACACACACGCACACAGGTATACAGAAATTCTCCTAACTTGTGGGTTAAGGCAGGTGGGAGGGAGTCAATCTTCATCCCTTCCTGCCTGCTCTCTGTTGTTGGCCACCTGAGAGGCTGAGAGAGAAAGAACTGCAGGTAGGCTATCACTGAGAACTTACTCTGGATGTTGTGGGAAGATACGGTCTTTTTCAAAGACATAGTGGAAGCAGTAGACTTGAAGTTTGTAAAAGATGGTGTGGCTGCACAAAAATAAGAGAAATAAGGAAAACAGTGAAGTAATTATCATCAAAGTCCTCTAGAATTAATCCATGGTAGAAGGTAAGAAAGCAATTCTGGAGGCCAAAAAAAGCAAGAATTACCTGTAAATAACTTTTTTTCCAGCTCCTCTTGAATTTTAAGAAGAATCCTTTCTTGCTCTAAGGCTTCTATGTACTTGGAGTAGCACCAGGTTGGCTAGAAAGACCATTTTCAAAGTTAATTTTGGAAATGTTTGCCTCAGGAAATAAACTGAAGGTAAGTAAGATGGTTTATTCAAACCTCTTCTTTTAAACTTTTTACTAAAATATAACAAACCTCAATAACAGATCACTGAATATAACTATTCAATGATGTGCTATATGTATTATAACTATTTCTCAGTGAATCAATGCTCAAAGGCTTTATAGATTTATTGACAGCAATTCAGGCACCTATATATATTTAATTTGATTATGAATTTAGATGCTTAAAAGACATCCAAGTTTTTTTGGGGGGGTGTATTTTGCATTTGGATTAATTCCAATTGTTAAATGTGTGAAATATATCTGAAACAAACGCACATATGGAACATCCACAATTGCCAAATGGTGCAGTTATTATTACTCTACCAATTGCTGGAATAATTCATATGTTTTCCTTCAATAGCAACAATAATAATTTTCATTTATGAAATGCCTTTGGCTCCCAAAAGCTTTTTAGTTTCTTACAAAACCCTTGACATGTATTACAAGAGATCATCACCATCATCATCATCATTCCTTTTCCTCTCTCTTTCTCCTTTTAACAGACAGGGAAACAGGCTCAAAGCAAATTTAGTGATTTTTTTTTTCAGGCTTCCAGGTAATACTGACTTGCAAATGACAGTGAAAATTAGAAGCCTGCTATCTCTAATTCCACATTCCCCTCTTTATTTTTACACTGTGTTTCTGAAATTTAATGCTACTCATCTGCTAATGAATCTTCTCCCAAATGGCATTATTACATATCACATACTTTTAGATACTACCTTTCTCAACACATGGCATCACAAAATTGGACGTTTCTCTTCTCTCAATAAGAGCTTTATAGTCTATCAGTTATCTCAGCTGAGTGGCTGAATTTATTTGACATTCCTAAATGCCAAAAAAGATTGTTTCTTGAGCTAGTATCATCCTAAGACACAAACACTTTTGATACAAGATATTAAAAATGGACATAAACTAAACTTATGAAATTTCATAGACGTGATCTTAATGTACAAGTTATAAATGTAAATATAAACATAAAAACTGTAAATGTTGATGGTCGTGTATTGGACAATTTTATGACTGCTTCAAAGAATTAAAAAATTGAGACTAAGCCTTTAAAGTTTTTCTTTCTTTTTTAACCCAAGAATGTATTAATCAAGTGTATTCTTAAACTCTATCTGCCTTACTCTCTTTTCCAATAAGATAGTCATTTCAACTGCTACCTCTTAAATCATCAAATGTATCAAAAAGTATTTTCATTGGTTATATTGTCCAAGATCAACTGAAATTTTAATGTTCTCTGAATGCTCAAGGAAATTCACTTCTAATCTCTCCTAATATAATTTTACCTTCATTTTCAAACAAGCACACCTCTACTATTGTAAAATAACTGAGCAACTGCATTTCTATTATCCAAAGATCTAAAGAAGAAGTGGCATCAGTGACACCTTTACTGCTTACCTGCCGGCCGTATGCTTGTAGGCCTAAAACTGGGTCAGTGGCTAAAGCAGCTGTTTTGATTGCAGATCCTGAAGAACTTGGATATTGTTTGATTCCATCCTGTAATTATATTAAATTATTCCAAAAAAGGAATAAAACTGTATTAGCATAAACTTACAGTAAACAAGTAATAAATTAGATGAAAAAATATTTTGTGGCAAGTACCACACCTGCGATTTCATCAAGTCAAGATTACTAATGCAATATAATTAGTGAACTCAATATTACTAATGCAATATAATTAGTGAACTTTAATTTTCTTTTATACTAATAATTTTTTTGTTTTTTTAAAGATTTATTTATTTATTTATTTATGATAGAGAGAGAGATTGAGACAGAGAGAGGCAGAGACACAGGCAGAGGGAGAAGCAGGCTCCATGTCGGGAGCCCGACACGGGACTCGATCCCAGGACTCCAGGATCATGCCCTGGGCCAAAGGCAGGTGCCAAACTGCTGAGCCACCCAGGGATCCCTATAAAAATATTTTAAAATAAATGATAAACTATAAAGAGCATAAAAAGCACTCTCAAATTCTGGCATGTAAGAAAAACCATTGTAAACATTTTCATAAACATCCACCCAAACTTCTCACCAGAGAAAGACACAGATATAATCTGTAATTTTAAAATTTATATTTTATTACATAAATCTCAACCAAATGGAATCACACTACATATGCTCTTTAAAATATTCTTTTCATGTTAAGTATTGTGAAAATGTTTCTATGTACATAAATACAGAATGGGAATTTAAAGGGGAAGGTCTTTGTATCATTCATCAATATGCCTTCCATACAACATACACCCGAAGTTTTGGATGGTGAAATGAATACAGCATCATTTCCAATGGATGAACTGTCCTATGCACTCAAATCCTGAATGATAAAAAAATAAACTATATAATCACTTCAACAGGTGAATAATAGTCTAGTAAAAGTATACATCACAGATAATTTAATCAATGCCTATTATTAGAAACTTAAATCATTAAAAACATTTTACTATTATAAATGATGCTGTGTACATATTTTAGTTGGTGACAGTACTGTCCAAGAAATTCAGTCATGAATCAGAGGAAAACTATAACACAAAGTAATTAAATATTCCTATATAAATATTTGCATATATGAAATAATACTCCAAATCACAAATACAGAAACTCAGGCCAGAATTAGACCAAAAATACAAAAAGGAAATGTAAAATGACAGTTTAAAAGAAGACTGAAGAAAAAGACAAAAATCTCTCAAAAATGAAGCTACAAGGTACTCAAGAGAGGAGAAATTTGATTGAATAGATAGGGAATTTATACATATATTATGTATATATACTTTCATTCTAATCCATATACATATATACATGATATATAATATGTACATAAATCATATATCTGGATCAAAAACTTTATATATGCACACACATATATAATATGCATATAAATCCCCCCAAAAAACTTAGCAAAAGACATAAACCTACAGATTCAAGAACCTGAGCAATCAGACAGAATAAATCCAAAGAAATCCACACATGACATATCATAATCAAATTCTGAAAACTCTAAAGACAAAGAAAAAATCTTGAAAGTAGTAATGCGAAACAATACCTTGCCTATAGGGAAAAGAAAGAATAAAAAAATATTGGAACATCAGGAAGGAAGAAAAACTGAAAGAGCAAAAGTATGGATTAATAGACTTTTCTTCTCTCCTTGAATTTCCTAATTTATGTTTGAGGGTTGAAGCAAAAATTATAAAATGTTGGAGTTAGTTTCCATTTCCTGTTTTATTCTTATGATGGCTTTATATGGTTAGCATCTGCCATTTTCTGCTCATTTTGAAATGTCTTCCATTTTCCTCAACCACCAATAACAGGGATGGGGTTTGATGTGGTTCTCAGTATATGTTGAGGGAATATTTAAAATAAGTATAAACAGGTGAGGGAAAAAGACTTAAAGGAAGAAGGTAATTTTTAGACTCTACCCAAACTGGTAAAATATCAACACCAATACACTGGGAAAAGTCATGTATCTATAAGATAATATCTAAAGATACACCAAAATAAAATTCTAAGAAATATATAAGTAATCCACAGGAATACAAAGGATGCAGAGTAAAATGAAAAACAGAGGGAACACTCAAAACAAGAAATAAAATGGCAGACTTAATATAAAATACACTAAAGATAAAGAGACTACACTAATTAAGAGAGATTGGCAAAATAGATTTTAAAAAACACCACCATGACCCAACTATATGCTGTTTATAGGAAACTTAATTGAAATATAATGCTACAGGTAGTAAATGAATAGAAAAAGATATATCATGCAAACACCAAAACAGAGCAAGCTGGTTCTGCAGCTTTGGAGAAGTCTGGCAGGTTTTTGAGAATCTCCATCTGTTCTCTACATGGCTATGAAATCATATACATATATGTATAAAACACTATCTTTCTTTTTAAAAGATTTTTTAATTTATTTATAAAGGAGAGAAAGAGCAAACAGGTAGGGGCAGAGAGAGAGGGAGAAGTAGGCTCCCCACTGAGCAGGGAGCCCCATGTGGGGCCCAATCCTAGGACCCTGAGATCATGACCAAGCTAAAGGCAGACACTTAACCAACTGAGCCACCCAGGCTCCATAAAACACTATCTTTAAAAACAGCTGAAGAATATACCCCAAGCTTAGTGGTTGCTCTTGGGGAGAGGGAAGATAATAGAACTCGGAGCTGTCAGTAAGAGAGTTTGCTCTTTCTGCAATATTTTAAGGAGGGGATAAAAACAAATGCAGCAAAATGTTAACAGTGTTTATTTTGACCTGTGTACATATGAACGTTCATTATATTACTTTTGCACCTTTCAATGTTTACATAGAATAAGCATAAGCTTACAAATAAATAAAATACATTAGTTGGGAGCAGGTACCTTTTTTTCAATTCAAAGAAAATAGATATAGAGATAGATGGATGGATGGATAAGTAAGTGGACAGACTAACAAACAGGCAGGCTGGGCAATTTATGAAATTTATATTTATAAATTTCACATTAAGTGTATCATTCTGTAATTGTAATGCTGAAAATGCTTTCTTGTAAGTACATAACATCTTTTCATTCATTCTTTTATTCCTGATTTACTCAGTTAACATTACTCAGTTAACATTGATTAATAATTGAGCACATGCCGGACACTGGTCTATGTGCTATGATGCACAGATGCACAAGACAGATACTATCCTTGGGAATCTTAGTCCAGTGAGGATGAAAGATGCAAAAATTTATTCATGAGACAATATAAAGCATTCTCCAAGAGAGGCGGGAATGTTACCACAGTGGATGAGAGCTGATTGTGTTGCCTAGTAGGGTAAAGGAAGTTTTCACATGGAAGAGGTGACATTTGAGGTGAATTCTGAGAAAATGAAAATGAAGTCTGAAACCTCTGACTAAAGTCTTAACAGCTACTAAAATCTGTATTCTATAATGTTTCTGTATTTGTTCCCCAGCCCAAATTCTTCTATAAATTCACACACATCCCATACCTTTTAAAAGCATGATTCAACTCAAAATGTCTTACCTTTGCAAAATTTTCATCTTCTATGACTGCCAATTTTTTTTTATGCTTATTATATTCTTGTCTTCTCTCTAAAACACTCATAATTTTTTCATCAGTTAAGTTCTTCCTAAACTCACAAAACTGAGGCCAAAATTTAAACAGAACCCCAAAAATTGTCATCTGTATAAAAAACAATGTCTCTGGTTACAATTTCATACAAATGTACTGATTTAAGCTCTAATTCACCATAATAATGGATTAACTATTCTATCTTTAATATACAGCATGTTTCCTCCAAGTTATTGTCTCCAGACATCTTGGTATAGTTTAGTTCAGCACATGCTTATGATCAAGGTTTTTTACTACCAATGAGAAGTCTTTCTTTAAAAAAAAAAAAACATGTAAAAGTTACTTTATTCTTTATGTTTCCTTAACCAATTGATCATATTAATAAAGAATCCATTAGGTCTTTTCAAATGAGAAATTTATATTTTCTTTTAAAACACACACTAGTTGATCTGCCACACACTCTGCTGTTTTATGCAAGTATTCCAAATATTCAGTCCATCAGGAGGAACTCCTCTCTGCCCCCCCCCCCCTTTAGAGAAAGGAAATACCTCTGGAAAAGCTCTTAAAGCTGCAGATCTAAGAATAAATCTTGAGTAACTTTTAAATGATATAATCTCTTTTATCTGAGAGCAAGAAAAGTAACATTTAAAAAGGCGGGTGGAATCCTGGACAAATGCTAAGAGGATACTCTACATTAAACGATTAATTGTGATATTAATAGAGATAAGAATTGTTGCTCAAATTCCCATGCCAAGTATTTCCATTAGTTCCAGAGGCATACATTACTTCCAAGAAGGTAGGACTTGCCACATCAGGTCAAGTCCAGCATCTCGTTGCTAGGAATGACCTTTACCTAATGCCTTGGAGAAAAATGAACCATCCCATCAGGCTCCAATCAAACTCTTCAGGGAAAAGAGGTATTCTTAAAAAGCAAGCACTGCTGTGATCAACAGAGTCCTCCAATGGTCGGTATATTTCATTACTCCTTTTTTCTGTGCATGGATATTGTTAGTAATTCTAAAATTATTTATTCCTTTTAAAATACAGTTTTATCATTGAATTCTGTAGCCTCTTGGCATTTTGAACATGATAACTAGAGATATTTTATTTGATGAAATGTAGGCTTTAAAAAAAAATTCATTTACATTTACCTGCCATATCTTTATTTAAGTAATCCCCTGCTCCAATGTCAAGGGATCATGGTGGTTTTTATATGAACTTCTTAAATTTAAATACTCCCCTTTTCCTCCTCTATTTACCAACTATTGATTCTACCTCTCATTACCTCTCCCAAATTGGAGTCATTCCTAGCTCTCAAATACATTTATCTCCATCTGGAAACTCTTCCAGTAAAAGTAACCAGGATAAAACACAAGTTTTTCAGTGGGAGACCTAAAACTGCTCTATTCCTAAAAGCTGCAATTAAGATTTTAGGTTAAGAATATATGTGTTAGTCATGAAAATTACCCTGTGCCTCCAGAACCTTAAAAGAAACCAAACTGTTGGTAAGAAAAATGTTTTAATAATTATAGAACTACTTTGCTCACTGGCAAGAGATAGGCAATGGTTTCAGTATGAGTAAAAAGGGCCAGTGTAAATTTGGCTAAGTGAAGAAAACTTTAAAACTATTAGGGGTGAAGGTGGGGCATAAGGCAGAGGCTAGACTGATAACAATGCTAGAACAGGCAATAGGCTTTTTTTTTTTTTTTTACCTCCTATGCAGCCCTTTCACTCAACTTTGTTCTCATTTCCCATTTGATCTTACTCCTTTGAGTCACAATAGATCACTTCTCATTGTCAGTCATCTATGTGTTCAAAAAATGTTATTGAATGCCTATTCTGTGCCAGGCATTTGGGCCACAAAGGTAAATAAGAAACATTCCCGGCCCTCAAACACCTTATAATCTAGTGGGAAAGTCAGCATGAAAATAGGAACTTTCAGTTTTGTGTGATAAAGAGACATAAAACCACAAGGAAGAGAAGATGATAATGCAAAAAACTCAGGAGTAAAGAGAGTAAGGCTCCTTTGTGGAACAACAGATATTTCAGGAAGACTGGCAGGTGGGTAGCAGGGAGTGGGAAGAGGTATGCCTAGTGAGGTATAGGAGTATAGTCTTCGGGAAGGCTGGGTGGCTTAGCAGTTGAGCATCTGCCTTTGGCTCAGGGCGTGATCCCGGGATCTGGGATTAAGTCCTGCATTTGGCTCCTGGCGGGGAGTCTACTTCTCTCTCTGCCTGTGTCTCTGCCTCTCTCTTTCTGTGTCTCTCATGAATAAATAAATAAAACCTTAAAAAAAAAGAGTATAGTCTTCATTCTGAGGACAGTGGGGAGTAACTGAAATTGAAAGCAGAGAAGTGACAGACCAGATAAACATTTTGAAAAAGATGGCTCTGTCTACAGTGAATTAAATAGTTTTGAGAGAGCCCAGAGGCACATTTGGCAATTACTGTAAAGTATTGATAAGATATGAACTCAGGTGATAGCATGGAGTCAGAGAAAAGTAGACAGGGTGACAGATAACAAGGAGACCAATGGATACACTTTAGGGACTGAAAATACAAGTGTAAGAGAATGAAGGAAAGGAAAGACATAAAGATGGCAACAAGACCTCTGGCTTGCACACCTGGATAGAAGGTGATGCTATTCTCTACACTTCCTTAGGAAACACAGGAGGAATAATCAGGTGGAGTGAGGACTCTATTTAAAAATTCTCTTATTTTCTGACACTCCAAAGTCTGTATTTAAGACACGTCTGGGATTCCATTTTAGGAAACCAAGGAGAAGGCATAAAATAGAGTACTCCCATAGCTTTTACTGGCTTCAATCTCTAGACAGTATGGCAGAACTAACCAATGTAAGCAGTTCCAGACATGCACTTGCAGACTCGAAGTCTTTGATCTAGGTGGGCAAGCCCTGGCCTGGTTATCCAGAGACCTAGGCTAGGCTAAGTGATCTCTAAGATCTTTTCACTAACAGATACTGTAATTCTGGCACCATGTTTTCTCTATTTCTCTCTAGCACATCCTCAGTTTCTCTATATTTTCACCCATTTTAATGCGTAATTTGGATTCTGAGTCCATTTTCAGTTCCTTAGAAGACTTAGAACACAGCTGGCTCACAAATGAATGTTAAAGGAATAATGGCCTTTTTTCCATGCTCAAGGGCAATCATATCCTAAAATCTCTGTTTCATATCACTTAAATCATGACATGGCCTTCCCTATTACCCCTATTATAATTTATTTTTCTTAATCATTTTTCAGGAACAACATTACTAAAAGGCTTTTAAAAATGCAAATAAATTATGTTCACCAAATCACTGTTTTCTATTATTTATCTTAAAAAGAAGTAACTTGAGCAGGTTAACAGGCAGGATTTTCCTTTCATGAGCTTGTGTATTTTATGTTGGTTGGGTACTTACATCTCCTCTCACTTACTTTATGAGCTATGTGAATATTCCAATCTTTAAAAATATACAGATCTTGGAACACACGTATTTTACCACATATTTGTGGTAGCAGATTTTCTAAAGGAAATAGAAATGGTGGGAAAGAAAGGAGGAATTGGCTGGAGTATTATAAGTAAGAAACAAAAATGATAACCATGGAGAGTCAAAGATAGTTATTTACATGATTGTATTTGCTATATATTATCAATAAAATAGTATACTGCTAGTTTCTTATATGTGGAATATGCAAAAAAGTTTTAAAGATTTATTTATCCATTTGAGGGAGAAAGAGAGAGAGTGAGCAGAGGAACGGGGCAGAGAGAGAGAATGAATCTCAAGCAGACTCTCTGCTGAGCACAGAGTCTGAAATGGGCTGTATGCAAGGCTCAATCCCAGGACCCTGAGATCATAACCTGAGCTGAAATCCAGAGCTGGATGCTTAACTGAGTAACCCAGGCATCCCTGCAAAAGCTTTTAATTAAATAGAATAAATCCCAGTATTAGGAAGGTTGGAACCTTATCAAATATGAATAATGCAAAAGCCTTAAAAGAATATCTAATTGTTCATCTATTTAAAAATACGCTTAGCTGCAAAATAATATAAAATATAAAACACCCTTAGCTCCATGCCCTGATCTCTTACCTGTGCCTCTCTAAACACATATGGTCCTAACTCCTTCCTGTGTTCAATAATTTTTTGGGCTTGCTCTACTGGAATGTCAATTTGTAAAGCTGGTGGAATACTAGAATTAATAAAGCAGTTGATGATAGTCATGATCTTCTTATGGATGATGGACTCTTCACAATGAGAATGGCACAAGTCCTGAGGAAGGAGGAAAGATAGAGCAATACATGATTAATGTATTCCTAGAATACTTGAAGGAATTGTGCCAATATGTCTTTCAGTAATATATACCTCTTAACTTCAGATCAAGAGGGCACTAGAACATGTGAAAGCCATCTTAAAAAATATCTTCCATTTCTCTCGGGTTTGAGGAACCCAACACTTTGATGCATATACCTTAAATAAACATGCTTCATTTAATCTCAAGTGCTTCTACTCCTAACCAAAAGACCAGCTTCAATGTCTACTTTGACTCATTTAACGAGTTTGTATTGGGTGCCTGCTATATACCAGCTGAGCCCCATGACAGTTCCTGCTCTTTAAAGACTCAGTCTCACTGGGGGAGAAAAAAGAGAACACATCACTTCGATCTGAGATAGCTGGTAAGTGCTACAGGAGAGGTGTACACAGGGCCCTAGGAGAGCACTGAAAGCAGGTACCTAACACAACTTACAAGTGGATGCAAAAGCTTTTCCGACCAGAACTGCTTCTACACCAAGGTAGAAGGCAGAAAGGCAAGGTAGGCTCAGAAAGGCAACAAAAGGGGATCCCTGGGTGGCGCAGCGGTTTGGCGCCTGCCTTTGGCCCAGGGCGCGATCCTGGAGACCCAGGATCGAATCCCACATCGGGCTCCCGGTGCATGGAGCCTGCTTCTCCCTCTGCCTATGTCTCTGCGCCTCTCTCTCTCTGTGACTATCATAAATAAATAAAAAATTAAAAAAAAAAAGAAAGGCAACAAAAGCAGGATGCTGGCAGTGACAAGTGTGTCACTATGTATCTCTTAGTATTTACACTTTTACAGTTAACCTATTAAATTATCCTTCTTCAAATTAGTGATCATACATTAAAAAGACCCAGTTTCATGTTACAGGTGTAGGGCTATCATTTTTCTAAAATAAAGAGGGAGCTTGGTTTGAATTATGGCACTTCTCTGTCAAGAACATTGATTCTCTAAATCACTAGGAAGCAAATAAATTTGGAAACTTGTAATTCTGGGCCAGAAATGAGCCAGCACTTACTAAGTACTCACTGCATGATGGTACTCATTGTAAATATTATGTTACAGACACTATTAAAGCAAGGAAAAATTGAGCACTGGCCATATAAAACCTTACAGAAAATTTGGCATAAATTATATATGAAAAAAGCTTGATATGAATGTTACATTAAGACAAAAGTTAGCATTTTTAACTCAATTTACCATCCCCTCAGAAAATGCCTATTTGTAGCACATATGTTTCATATGTTACCAAAAGTATATTTTTTCCATTACTAGTAAGATGATCATATATCATTATTTGGTGAGCCTGATTTATAATTATGGAATGTAAGGCTTGGGAAACAAAAACAAAATTTTTGGAGTTTTCATTTTGAGGGTGAAGAGACAAAAATCAGAACTGATTTTTTTTCTAGTTGTTCTGCCCTACTCTACCTAGCTTAATGAAGCATTACTTATCATTAAAGTCTCAGTTTAAACAGACTTTCCTCTAAAAGGCTTTTGGTGACTCCCTCAGTTCAGAGGAGATGCCCATTGTAGATACTTCCATTGTGCTTCCATCAGCAATGCTCTAATCACGGTCCTACAGCTGTCTTGTCTATCACTTGTCTGTCCCTCCCATGACACTGTAAGCTCTAAGAGGGAAGACTATTCTGATCATGATTGTGTTCTCAGGATTTAGCATGGGTCTTGGTAGGTGCTCAGAAAGTATTTGCTGGAGGAATATGTCCTTCCAGTCTTTTTTTCTATGGACACACACACACACACACACACACACACTTCAGATTAAATTGTACTGTTTTCTAGTAGTAGCTAGGTTTTTAAAAAATCAATAAGATGAATATATTTTCTTTTTTTAAAAAGATTTTATCTATTTATTCATGAGAGACAGAGAGAGAGAAGCAGAGACAGAGGCAGAGGGAGAAGCAGTTTCCATGCAGGGAGCCTGATGTGGGTCTTGATCCCGGGACCCCAGGATCACGCCCTGGGCCAAAGGCAGGTACTAAACCTCTGAGCCACCCAGGGATCCCCTATGAATATCTTTGCTTATCATTGATTGATTATTCTCCAACAGCATGATTTTTAAATGGTTGCAGAGTAGTCTATTGTATAGATGTATAAATAATTAAGTAACTAACATCCTGTACCTGAACAGCTGGGTTCTTCCCAAATTTTCACAATTCAGAACAACGGGAAGAGCCCAGATCTCAATTTCTTAGCATATTACCACAATCACTGCTTGGATGGGGAGGGGACATAACTTAGTGATTAGGAGCATGAGCTTTAGCAACAGAATGTCTTGGTTCAAATTCCAGCTCTGCCACTTAATTAGCTACATGATATTAGGAGTTTCTTAGCTATTCTGTGCCTTAGCTTTGTGTGTGTGTGCGTGTGCCTTAGCTTCTATATCTGTAAAATAACAAGAATAACAGCTTTGATCTAATAGGATTCTTATTAAGAATAAATTAGCTGGGGATCCCTGGGTGGCGCAGCGGTTTGGCGCCTGCCTTTGGCCCAGGGCGCGATCCTGGAGACCCGGGATCGAATCCCACATCGGGCTCCTGGTGCATGGAGCCTGCTTCTCCCTCTGCCTATGTCTCTGCCTCTCTCTCTATCTCTCTGTGACTATCATCAATAAAAAAAAAAAAAAAAGAATAAATTAGCTGTTATATGAAAAGAATTAAGACGATATCTGGCAGATAGTGAACATTTAATAAGAGTAGGAGCTCAATAAGATTTTGTCATGCCAGGTGGAATACTTCCCACCTAGCAAACTTTCTCAAGGTCCAATTCAAATATTATCTCTGCCGAGACTTCCCTGACCTACAACCTTCTCTCTGCATCATTCCCTCTTTGGTGCCCAAACCATACCTAGTTAGAACATGGATCATAACTAATACTATTTCATGGTATTTGTTTTCATGGATGTCTCCCTCCTTGAGGGAGGGCAATGTGTTACATTCACTCTTTCATTTCTACAATCTAGCATAATGGATGGCACCTTAGGTACTCACAAAATGCTTAATGAATTAACAAATTCCCTCCTATAGCATAATTTCTAATAGTCACCTAGAATTATACGTCCTCCACTCTATACCACAGGAAATATATTTAAATGAAGACTTGAAAGAAAAACAGTCTTGAAAGAAAAACAGTCATACAACTAAGGGTTGACTTTGTATGAGTATGCTTTTTAAAATGCTTTTCTTGTATTTATTGTATTCCTCCTGTCAGAGTGGGCCTGGGCCTACTCATATTCATATTAGCTGCCCATTCATAATAACTGCCTATTTTGGAAAACAGACTTTACCTCCTTTCTAATTCTTAAAAAAAATTATTTTCATATTGCTTACCCTGTGACAGATTTTGAAAAAAATTATCTCAAAACATTTTTTCCTGAGAAAATTTCTAAGGTGTAAATAGAATAATAGTTCTGTTTATAACAAAAAAACGGTAGAAGACATCTTCATGGAAAGTTGGAGAAAGTTTGGAAATAGATTTTATTGAGCAATTACTAACTGTATAGAATATAAATGCTGCAGAATATTAACATTGCATAATTCATACTTAGATTCCAGACCAATTGAAAGTACCATCTTTTTAAATCCCAATTTTATTTTTATTCCATTATTAATATGTAATTATTTAATTGCAGTTATGCAATTAAATATTAATTATTTAATAATAAAATTTATTTTTATTTTTATTTTTATTCCATTTATAATGGAATAAAATAGGCTACTTGCCCAGAAATGAATCTGCTTCCTGTGGGAGCATTGAAGCAGAGTCTGGATGCCTACTCTTGGGTATTTCTAGACAATGTTCCCTTATTCAAGGCTTGCTTAAAATACATAGAAAGTCCTTCCCTTCCCTCAATGCAAAGATTGTTTGCATTAACAAACGTAAAAATAAACTGCCAATTGTTCTTTTACTCATTTGTTTCATTAAAAATTTGGCCATTCTTTCTATTAGAAAAGCAGGAGCTCATCTCTGCTGGTTAACTTACCTATAATCCTCTATCTTTGATGACCATGCTGGCAAGAGTTGGGAGGAATTCTGGTAAAGAAGTCTTGGTTAAAGTACTGAGAGTATGGATATCTTCAGGAAAATGTGCATATGGTACATTTATGGAGAAGTGATATGCAAAAAATGCATTTAAAACTCTTTTCAGTAAGGTTCTTATTAAATCATATGTGAATACCTTGAAAAGCTAATTCTATCATTTCAGGGCTCACTCTTACTCTTCACTGTATAAAAAGAAATATATCTAACACAAAACAATAAATACCTCAATATTTACATATTGGTATGAAGATGACAAATTGGGCTATCATACAAATCTTGTCTATAAAGTTACAGTTAAGAATCTGATGTGTTAATGCATTTCCACCACAAAAAAGAGGTGGTTTTCTCCAGCTTCCAATATAATACCTTATATTTTTGTACTTCTTGCCAAAAGAGTACATCATTTTCCAATAAATCTCCTTTTAGAGCCACAAACCGTTGAAATTGTCTTATGGTAACTGGATTCAATAATGCTTTACGAAAACCAATGATTTCACAAGATGAAGATATCCACTTACTCTCCACAGGCTGTCCAAAGCAGAAAATACAGAAAATTAGCTGTGTTCTAAAAAATAACAATAAAGTCATTTATTAGGCTAAAAAATACCAACTTCAACATCCTTTACTTTGGGCTGTTGAAATTTATGGCATGGATACAACAGAATTTGGCAACTTCTACCTCTCTGTTCTTCTCTCTTTTGTCTCCTTTATATTTTTATGGCATCATTTTTTTTATGAGGTAGGGAGAAAAAGAAATGACCGGATGATTCAGAACATACAACTACATTGTTTAAGAATGTTAAGAATCATTGCAGTTTGGGACTTTGGTGAAAAACTACATTTTATGCATTGCATGAGTTCTGTGCTTAAACAGAAAAACATAATCATATGTTGTGATTATATATTGTTACATTATATGTATAACTATATATATTATATACGTGTCATGTTATATATTAAATATAACTCTCTTGCCTTTTCAAAAGTAAGAGCACTAGGGACACCTGGGTGGCTCAGGGGTTTACTGTCTGCCTTTGGCTCAGGCCGTGATCCCGGGGGCCCTGGGATAGAGTCCAGCATCGGGCTCCCTGCAGAGAGCCTGCTTCTCCCTCTGCATGTGTCTCTGCCTCTCTCTGTGTGTCTCTCATGAATAAATAGATAAAATCTTTTAAAAAATAAAAAAATAAAAAGTAGGAGCACTAGAACATTTAAGATATTTTTTCAAAATCTTAAAAAAATTTACCAATGAATCCTGTTAAACAGTATATTTTCTATGCAGCTTCTAACTAGAAAAATCATGTTTTTAGGCAAGACATATTTATTTTAGTAAAAATTGTTATTAATACTTTATAACAAGAAGAAAAATCATTAATATGTTATTTTAAAAAAATATATGTTATTTTTAATAATAAACTTCTTCTGACTGAGGATTTACTTTACATACCAAAAAAGTTGGAGGACCCATGGTACTGTAGTAATGCTTAATTTCTGTCTTCACAATTTTGAAATACAAGATGTCTATTTTTAAAATTTTGACCATTTTATATCACATATCCATCCCTTGTTAGCCTCTCATATTAAAAAATGTAAGACAGGGCAGCCGGGGTGGCTCAGTGGTTTAGCGCCACCTTCAGCCCAGGGTGTAATCCTGGAGACCCGGGATTGAGTCCCACGTCGGGCTCCCTGCATGGAGCCTGCTTTTCCCTCTGCCTATGTCTCTGCCTCTCTGTGTCTCTCATGAATAAATAAACAAAATCTTAAAAAAAAAAAAAAGTAAGACAGATTTTATTGAATTTACTGAATATAAATTTTTTTTACTGGATAAATGTTATCGAAGCTCCCCAAATTTGAGTTTAGTGTACAATCATGCAAAGAAGCACCATTCCAAAGGCAAAGTTTGAAATGAACTTAAGAATTGTAGTAACATCAGCCAAAAGACATGATAAATATCCATTACTGACGATGCATAAAATGAGTTTCTCGAAACAAATCCTATGTGATTATCCATGTAAATGTCAAAGAGAGTTATGTAAAAAAGCACTATGGGAACACAAAAGGAGTAACTAACTAATTCTGCCTGAAGGAGCAAAAGCTTTGCAGAAGGACCTTGAGGATGAATTGGAAATTGAAAAATGAAGCCAACACCAGGCAGTCTAGGTGAATAGCAGTGTTTTCACCCAGATGAAATGACTGAATGTCTAACATCATTTTAGTGAGGTACATGTCTTGCACTTTGGTCAAAAAGTTAAGACCCCCACCATATGTTCCATATTAAAATTACAACCCTATAAATAGGAACACTTACGCATTAGACTGGGATGTTTATTTTAAACTCACTTAGCAAATAATGTTTTAAGACCTACTTCTTAAGATACTAAAACTTAGTAATTTAACTAAAACCTGTAATTTAATTAAACAGAAAATAACATAATACGTAATGCACAATAATATGAAATAAAAGCCCATCCTACTTGGAATTTCAACAAAAAATAGTAAAAGACAAACATAAGAATGGTTTATTTCCTTTCAAGAGGAAAACACAGAAAAAGAGCATCCTAACAGATACATGTAATCCTCTAATAGTCAAATAAAATTTTACGTTTGTTAGTTTGTAAAGGGTCACCCAGGTCTAGTCTGACATTCCACCAAGATCTGTAGAAGGATGAATTCATATAAATATGTAGGCTCAACAAGAAGGCTGTGTTTATCGTGATTGTTAAGAAGCAAAACAGGCCATTTCCAGTAAGGTATTCTATTATAGTGGCTTCAGTAATCACCAAAATGATAGTTTAATTCTTTTCAAGCCAAAATGTAAATCTCAACAGAGTATAATGTAAGATAATTTAACTTGCTGGTTCTGTTACATATTTCTCATTCTTTTTGTAAAGTCATCCACTCTCAGTAAAAAATAAACTACCATAGGCTGAAATGAACAGCTTGTCTCAATAAATCCATCGCAAGCAAAATAAACAAAAATACATATATAAGGTCCAAAATTTAAAGCACACTTCTCGGGCTTAGCAGGTCGGGAAGGCATTAAGAAGGTGGCTCTCATCGAATTAATACTCTTCCCCAGATTCCATCAGCCAATTAAACAGTGTCAGTGGTCAACTGGTAGCTTAGAAAGCAGTGTGTTCAATGAGAGTCTTTGAACAAGTAGGGGAGGAAAAATAATACTTTGACAGAGTGGAAGTTGCAAGAGGAAGAATATAACAAACACTACTTGCCTTCCAAACCCCGATTTTCCTCTCATGCTTCTGTAATAAGAGTTCTTCAGCTATGTCTCTCATCTGTATCTAAAAGCAAAACCAATAACTTTATTCCAATTATTCGAATGTGTACATTTTTGACATCATTTACTAACTTAATAGCTTTTTTTTTCCAAAAAGATTTATTTGTTTTATAAAGAGAGAGAGAGCATGAGTGGGGTGAGGGGCAAAGGGAGAGAGAGAGAATCCCAAGCAAACTCTATGCAGACCACAGAGCCCGACAAGGGGCTTGACTCCACAACCCTGAGATCATGACCTGAGCTGACACCAAGAGTTGGTCGCTCAATCAATTGCACCAGCCAGGTGCCCCTAATTTCACAGTTTTTAAAAATGAGGTAAAAGGGCAGCCCCGGTGCAGCCTGGGGTGTGACCCTGGAGACCCGGGACTGAGTCCCACGTCGCGCTTCCTGTGTGGAGCCTGCTTCTCCCTCTGCCTGTGTCTCTGCCTCTCTCTCTGTGTCTCTATGAATAAATAAACAAAATCTTTAAAAATAAATAAATAAATAAATAAATAAATAAATAAATAAATAAATAAATAAATATGAGGTAAAGGTCAGCATGGATAAGAGTACAGTTTAGGAGAAAAAGGATCAGAACTTAGAAATGGAAGCCCTTCCTAAGTGCCTGGGCAAGTCACTCAAATTCTCTGAACAGTTTCCCCATCTACAAAGTGAAGATAATAATACCTAAGTGTATTGTCCCAAATGTGGATAACAGTTTTACATTGGGTCACATGAAAATTGAAGCTGGAGAGATAATTAGGACTTCCCAGATTTTTGTGTCACTTTCTAGCCACAAGTAATTTAAGAAGAGTACAAAAGTTATTCAACACAGGGAGGAGATACAGTAGATATTTTTTGAGGTTATTGCTTATTCACAATATTTTCCTAGGCAACCATACCTGCCAGATGCGTGCTATCTGAATCTACCTCCCTGTCTACAGCAGGTAGATCGGGGCACTAACCTAGAGGGACCAGTATTGGATCACAGATGCTGCTTTTTGATAGTCACAACTGAGAAAGTATCCAGGACTTTTCGCTGGGTTTCAGAGCTGTCCCAGCCCTTGGCCTTTCTAGAGCTTGGGTGATAACTCTTCCCCTCAGTGTGTGAGATGTTACCGCACCATTCTGTCATAAATTCTCGCCTTTATCTTTTGTATTTGGCTTAAGATTGCCAGAATCAATTTACATCATCAGCCACCCAAAGAAGCCTAAGGTCAGGAAATGGCTATAAGTCACAATAAAGTTGTTGTGGTAAACATAGCAAGAAAATGTGGTAAATAATATTAATAAGCCAAAGCCTGAAGAAAGGAAATGAGGAAATGTGAGTTGCTGCAAAGCTTATTTCCAGGAACTTCTGCCTAAAACAAGTCAGCTCTTCTTCCTACCATAAATTCTATTTTCGCAGCTTTATTGTGTTTTCCATAATGTAAGGTGCCCAGAAGATTAGGGGATCTTTCCACACAAGTAAGACTCCAAGTGTCTGATTAACTGAATGCAGAGGGCAGGTTGTTTAGATTCTTCCTGACTGACACTAACAGCATGTGCTTTGCATACTAAAGTCCAAAATTATACCATCTGCCCCTGGTGAAATATTTGATCAGGTTTGCCTGTTTTAGGTGTGATAATAACATTTTGAGTTACTGAAGTAACACCTGCTTTTTATAAAGAACAAGCAAAGCAACAAGCAAACAAAAATAAAAGAACACATCTCACTTCACAAAGTAAAAAGTAAAAATCCTTCTTACTCCCCAGGCTGCAGAACCTTTTAGACTTTTTTCACAAACACAAATATAGATAGATGGAAAAAGAAATACATAAGTAGATATAAAGATTTAAGAACATGTAATGGGATTATCTTCTGTATATTGTTCTGCATCCTACTTGTTTCACTCAAGGAATACTGTCTTTCATACATTAGTACATGTGGAAATCTCATTTTTATATTTTAATCTCATTTTATAACCCCATTTTATATGGAAATAGTACAGAATTATAAATCATTTAACTATTCTCCGTTGTACACCCTTGCCTGTTTTTTTTTTTAAATTTTTTTATTTTTATTTATTTATGATAGTCACAGAGAGAGAGGCGCAGAGACATAGGCAGAGGGAGAAGCAGGCTCCATGCACCGAGAGCCCGATGTGGGATTCGATCCTGGGTCTCCAGGATCGTGCCCTGGGCCAAAGGCAGGCGCCAAACCACTGCGCCACCCAGGGATCCCCACCCTTGCCTGTTTATATGAGGACTTAATAACAATATAAAAAATAACAACTACATTAATAAGCAATATTTGAACATTGGCCATGTGCCAGGTGCCATGCTAAGAAACTAAGCATACATTATTTCATCTTTACAACTATCTTAAGAAGCAATTACTCTTATTAACCCCAGTTATTTTTCAAATGAGGAAAGGTTATAAAACTTGAAGTTGTAGCAGAGCCTAGCTGGCTCAGTCAGAAGAGTGTGTGACTGTTGATCTTGGGGTCATGAATTAGAGCCCCATGTTGGGTGCAGAGATTGCTTAAAGTTAAAAAAACAAACAAATAAATAAATATACTTTAAAAAAAAACAAAAAACCTTGAAGTTGTACAAGTAACATGTGGCAGGGTTGAGGCAAAACCTTGGGAAGGCTGACTCCATGCTCTTAACTACTGTGCCATAGAAGTGCAACGGCTAGGTCAATGGGTACACATATGTGATGTTTTAGGAGGTACTGTCGATTGCTATTCAAAGATTACATAACTAATATACCTTTATCTTTTGACGTGCTACAAACTGTTCGCTTGCAAGAAACAATGGCAACCACACATTTTCTAGCTTATTGAGAACATGCTTCTGAACTTCAATTAGAACAGGTGCATCAAGCTGCTCATGGAGCATCTGTCCCCAGCCACCACTTAAATTCATTATCTAAGAAAATAAAAATGAAACAGAAACTGAAAACTTCTGTTTTAGTGAAGAAACACTAACAGTCATTATTAATTTATCCAATTCACCCCCAAACCATGTGCCAAGCATGCTCTAGGTAACACAATTTTCATTTTCTGAAAGCTATCTCCTGGCTATATGTGTATAGGAAAGATACAGAACTCCCCTAATATCAAACAGACAATTGTGGTTTATGTGATGGTTGTTTTAGATATATAATTTTGCTTGTGATATATTTCAGAGAACCCAGGAGTGGGATTTTCATCTTGTGTGCTCACAGGCAATGCCATGTTTTCTCCATGGCCTCAACATCTTCAACTATGGAATGAGGGTGATTACTAGTCTGTGAGTTTTCTAAGCACTCTTCCAGGTCTAATATTCTACAAATCTGTGATTCTGGTCAGATTGACTAGTTTAAGGTAGCATTTTCTTTTGTGTATGAGGAAAATGGGGCACAAATTAGTTAGGAGACAACCTTGAATCACATATTTTAAATACACTGCGGGGGGAGATGGGGAGATGATGGTGGTGCTAGCAATGCAGGGCTGCCCCAACAACTTCAAAGAAGAAAACAGAAGTAGCAGGAAGTAGAGAATGACCAGGTTATACATACAACAGTCTCTGATCTGCACAAGTGGCACCTTTTACGAAACACATTTTCTCTGCGGCCCAGATCTTCCTTCTGTGTAAGTATCGGCTTCAACAACCTATGAATGGCTATTTCCTCCTCTAAATCATTCTGTCTCTACGTGTTTCTGTGTATACACCACTTGAAACTTCTGGACCTCTCACTGGAGAAATTACCTTCTTCTTAATTTCCCTTTGATTAATAAAATCAATCAAATCCTACTAATAAAATAATTGTTTTACGTCAAAACAAAAGAGAAGCCCTCTTAGCCATCTGTTAATAACGCTGATTTTTTTATATAAAAAAGGAAGAAAAAAGAAAAAAGAGAAGAGGCTGCTTGGGTAAGCAGAGAAAAGCCTGTTCACCCAACTGAATTTAGAACTAGCAAAATCAATACAGAACATAATGTGATAATGGATATCCTTAAATATAAAAACGTAAACAAAAATAAAAGTAAAGCCAGAGAGGAGGAAGAAAGGTCGTTGGGGAAACTCTTCTGTAGTAAACACAATCATTTGCTATGACAGCAATGGATAACTTTTCCACTGAGAATTTTTTTAAATTCTCAGCATGTTCCACTATGGAGGGTTCACACAGTAGCATTAGATACCATGAAACCTCATACAATGTAGCCCAAGCCAAACAGAAAACAAATGCCTCCCATGAGTTTATTTTATACTTGTGCTTATTGAGATACCCAACACTTTTGCTAATACATCCCAGATTTGTATCTCAGGGAACAAAATGGCAAGGCATTTTGTCAAGACTGCTTAATTTCAGAATTCCTTCTCCTTCTTATTCCCAAAACCTTTTGCTTATTTTACTCCTGGAAGATCTAGCTTTTTAATTTGGTATGCCCTACTGATGAACATTTCTGAATTTTTCTTTAATTTACTGAATTTAGTATTAATCTGAGATTTGTTTTTAAAAATGTACACCATGAGGATATGCATCCTTTTAAACTACTAAAATAAAGATATCAAACATTACACATTTGATCTCCAGGTAGTAAGTGGTACTAGCAAACTTCAAATTAATTATAACACTTAATTCTTTTATTTCAAAAGCATAAAACTGAGCAATATTTCATGTGATCCGAGTGTTACATGAATGCTCAGTCCCACTGCCGAATCCCAATCTGACCTTTTTGCCATAAATAATGACACCATATGGTATAATAATGACATATAGTAATAATGATGACAATAATAATATAGTAAATAATGACATTATATGTCACAGGCACTTATATTTGCTGGATGAATGGATGATTAGATGAATAAAAGCTATTTTTATTGTATAAATTACTTTTTTAAATAACTGTTTTTATAGTACAGTTGGTATGAATTTTAAAGGCATTTAATTTGTAGATACTTAAAAACTTTTTAAAAAAGATATCCAAAGTGTCTAACATTATAAACCATAAAAGCAAAAGCAAAAAAAAAAAAAAAAAGAATTTCAATTGTTGGCAAAAAGAAATAAATAACTGGTTTTCACATTTCAATAAAGAAAGTATGTTTACATATTGATACCTGGTCCTGCTGATATAGAGAAGCTGGACTTTGGGGGCCAAAGAAATATTTTTTATTAAGGTATTTGTTTTTAATATATATAGATTTTGCTTCCCTCTGCTTTCGGTCTCCATAAATTATTCTTCGGAACTGTTCAATGTCTGTCCAGCACATAAGGTCCAAACTAAAATGAAAACAAAAACTAAGTACAGTCCTCCTTACTTTTTTTCTCTCAATTCTACTAACCACCAAACAAGTTGCTGTCTTGACTAGCTAACAGAACTGATTAGATCATGAAACTAATGAGTTCAATAATATGTCTCATCTTGGCTAAATATATGAATGTACTCAGGAGTACTGGGATCAGACAAGAATCTATCACTGTTATTGGTAGGGTCTTAGAGTTCCTGTTGGCAAACTGAATTTAAATAAAAATTTTTTTAAATAATAATAAAGTAAATAAATAAAACTAGGAGTTCCTGCATTAATAATGGACTCGTATTGTTGATATCAAACCTGGGAAAATTTCCATCTACTGCATGTCTATTTGGCAACATGCTAAATTTAGAACAATTCTCATCAATAAAAAGGGAAACTATATATGTGAAATTTGGCTCCCAGGTCTAAAACTTTTCTGTTAACTTAGGAGAAAATTATCGGAAAAAATATGATCGATATTTCAGTTTATTTTAGATAAATATAAGGTTTCAAGATTCTGTGTAAAGCTACAATGTTTCATTTATGTATTAGCTAATAAAAATTACAAAGTATTAAAAAATTACAAAGTATTATAGTAATAATTTCAATAGCTTAGAAAAATATAAAGGAGATACTTTTCAGAGGTACTAATTAAAGCACATGTGGAGAAAAATGAAAACAAAAGAAACAGCAGAAAAGCAAAAGAATAAAACATGCTGATGTTTTAATTTAACCAATGCTAAAACTATTAACAAATCTTGTTTGACTACTTAAAATACCATTTGGGAAGTTATTATTATCAAAATGCACTCCCCAATGAAAAGTTACCCATACAGATTTCAGATAGGTATGCTCATTACTTTTTACTGTCATGGGTGAAATCTAGCACCAAATCACTTTCATACTATCTTCAAACAAAGTAGCTTAAAGTAGCTTAAGTAGCTTAAAAAAAAAAAAAACACTTAGAAAAATGATGCTTTAAGAGAAATACATTTAATTTTAATTTTTCTTTTTTAGAAATACATTTTAAAATGGTTATGTTTCCTACCTTGAAGAATGAGCCTCAAGAAACTGACGGAAATGTTCAAACTCCAGTTTGTTGTTAAGCAGGTCATTAAAATTAAAGTGCCTATATTCTTCAGGAACATTACTCCAATATTCTGTTTTTTTAGAGACCTCAGGAAGCCGTGAAATACCGGTTCCAATTTCACAAGTAGTGTCCTAGTGAAATAATACTTTTCATAAAAAAATCTCTTAAGCAAATTAAGGGTACCTGGGTGGCTCAGTCAGTTAGGTGTCTGCCTTTGGTTCAGGTCATGATCTTTGGGTCCTGGAATCGAGCTCTGAGTTGGGCTTCCTGTTTATCAAGGACTCTGCTTCTCCCTCTGCCACTGTCCCCATTTGTGTTCTCTCTTGCTCTTTCCCTCCCTCCTTCTCAAATAAGTAAAATTGTAATAAAATAAAAATAAAAAAAATACAAGAGTGAAAGTGTCAATTCTATTTAAAGAAAAAAAATTCAGGGATGCCTGGGTGGCTCAGTGGTTGAGTGTCTGCCTTCCGCTCAGAGCATGATCCTGGGGTCCTGGGATCGAGTCCAACATCAGGCTCCCTGCAAGGAGCCTGCGTTCGCTGGACTATCTGGGAGGTGGCAAGGGCTCGGCCGCGGGGAGGGGGGCGAGCTCGTGGGTCTGTGTGTCTGTTGTGAATGAATAAATGAAATCTATACCAGAAAAAAGTAATAAACATGACCAGAAGTAATGGATGCAAAAGGAGGGCAGACACAATATTGGCCAAATTTAAAAAGACGAAACTTATAGATAAAAATGGATAGTGAGGCCAACATGCATGCTGAAACAATGGCGTGAAGGTAGAAGGTCTGAGTAAGAAGTGTAGAAATCGAGTGGATAGCGGGCTCTAAGTCCGATGCGAACGCTGAATTCTATTCGCGGGGCGGGGCCGTGAGGGGCCCTTCCCGATCGGGGAACTGGTTCTAATGGACATGTTAACTACAATAATTTTCGAGCTTAGTCCAATACTGGGGATAGGTGTATTGGTGGGGGGATGGGGGGGTAGTAGGGGAAGGTTAATAACAAGTCGAGTGTATAAATTAATAGGACAAAAAGCATACATCTAACACCCCGAAGTCCAGAGGTCGTACCAATGTGCAGAGATAACGTACCACAGCGAACATTCTGGGTGATATGTACAAGTGGGGAGATGATAGGGGGTGGATTGCATCACACCCGGAGGGTGAGTTAAAAACCAAGACAGGACTGTACAACTACGTATGATTTTGTAACTTGGTTCTTTTTCTTAACAACGTATTATGAACATAAAATGTTTTTTTATTTATAACAATTTTGAAAGTTATAGAGTAACAAAATACTTTTCTAATAATACATTTTTAAAATGTAACCTTCTTTGTATAAGAGTTAATTTTTAGGCATTTTAAAGACATTATGTTTTGCAGTTTACAAGCTCTATATAAGGGCAGAGCTAGAGAAGCTTATTTTTTAAAAACCTTTCCTCTCTTTATGGAATTCCTTATATAATTAATTCATCCATCTATTTGTTTTTGAAAAGCACCAGACCATAAGAGAAAACTACCAATATTTTAAAAATCAATTTCCAATAAGGAGAAGGATTATGGGAAGTATTATACATTTTTGTTCATAAAGTTTAAAATGCAACTTAAAATACAACTAAAATGCCACATTTCAGTTCATAAGGTTTAAAATACAAACTTAATATACAATGTTGTAAACATTTTCATTCATTAAGGTTTTAAAATACAACAAAATGCCTTTTTGGATTTTTATGTAACCTTTCCAAGATTTTAATTAGTAATTTCTCAAATACAGAATTTGTGTTAAAAAGGCAACTATCATGAAGGTTACACTTAAAAAACAATTTTACTGTTTATGTAAAATTTTATCATAAAAGAGCAAAAATTTCAGTAGGCACAAAAGAGAAAGTAAAAAGATCACCTGAAAAAAAAATATGTATCACCTGAAACCTTACCACTTGGAGCTGATTGTCTTTATTTTGGTAAACATCTTTCCAGATATCTCTCTTTGCATGTATGTATACATGTAGAATTATGTATATAATTTTACATAAATAGGATTATATGATCCCAGTGTTTTTTGTTCCCTACATTTTTTATATGTTAACATGTCTTGGGCATTTTCCATGTTGATAAATATGAATATGAACTGTCACTTTTATGTACATACATACTTTTAATTTTATGGCTTTTGGGATCTATCATGCTTTATGTAGCTAATCCAAAAGTTGCAGATTTATAAAACAAAATAACACTTTAATATCTTGGTCAATCCTATGATCTTTTTACTGACTCCTCCAAATCCTATTCATATTTTTTTCCCTTTATTGTTTTGCCTACTGCTGTCACACAACAGTTTCTTTTCTGTTTGGAAAACTCAATTTAACTCTTTTTGTGAACTGACAACAAATCGAGCTGCTGCCATACAGAAAATAACCAGAAATGTTCAAAGGAATACTATAGCTTGAGGGCTTTTAACTAAAGAATGCACATAGCTGGGCTCCCTACACTATCTCATCTGCTTCCTTCTGGCTTTGTCGTTAGATGTGTCAGTGGAAAGCGGTACCTGTCAAAGGCAGCATAGTAAGCAAAAAAATAGCAGAAAAATGAAACAGTCTGTCCCCTATTTTATCAGTCCATGATCTCCTCAATATATGAATCCCCTCTCCTGGCCCCTGCTTCCTGCCAATATATACAGTGGTAATCCCCTCCAGGATAAAAAGTTTGTTTTTAGAAGTAGAGAGCTGTCTTACCTCAGCTTTCTTGGAAAAGGTCTCTTTATGCAAAGCCTGTAGCTTTCTGAAGTATGTGGAGTCTAGCTGTCGAGTGTCTTCCACCAGCTCCACCTAATAAAATAATAATAAAGCTCGTAACATCAATAGAATGTGCATTATGAAAAAATGGGGAAAATGCACAATTTGCCAATAACAGTGGGCTCAAAAATGAATGCACTTGCCAATAAAGTTAAATTGGTTCAGAGGCAAAAGCGGGAAGAACAACATAAAAAAATTAACTACAGCGAATTCAGACTTCCCATGCATGCGATAAAATATTTCTACATAATGATACAGTGACACCAGAGACCATCCCTCCTTTGTGAACACCCCACATGAACTAACAGTGCACCCATGTCAGGTCACATTTGCATTTTCTATTTCTATTTCTATGTTCTATAACAGGATAATAGTCATGAAGGTGGGCATTGCTAGCTTTAGGAACAAAATAATCCACAGTAGAAGAAGAAATGACCACACTCCATTGTTATTAATCTGTAGGCTAAGGTTTTGTTGCTGAAGCAAGAGAGGAGAGTGTCATTCATCAGATTAACCTCACAGCTGGTCTCAGCCTGCAGAGTAGGTATTGCACTGTATTAGTCAGTCAGGAGAACAAATTCATTCTCCATTTCTTTATTCCATGGAAAATCAGTTTGGCAGACTGACAACTTTCTACATTTAAATTTTTTTTTTATTTATTTATGATAGGCACACAGTGAGAGAGAGAGAGAGGCAGAGACATAGGCAGAGGGAGAAGCAGGTTCCATGCACCGGGAGCCCGACGTGGGATTCGATCCCGGGTCTCCAGGATCACGCCCTGGGCCAAAGGCAGGCGCCAAACCACTGCGCCACCCAGGGATCCCAACTTTCTACATTTAATGGCTAGCTTTGGTAGTCTCTTTCTTTCATTATTCTTTTTGGGAAAGAGCCTATATAACCCAGTCAACTGGACTTTTAGAGAAGTTGTCTCGGCTGAATTTAAGGATGTTTCTAGTTTCTTATTTAAAAAGAGTGTAGGGACGCCTGGATGGCTCAGCAGTTGACTGTCTGCCTTCGGCCGAGGTCATGATCCTGGTGTACCGGGACTGAGTCCCAAATTGGGCTCCCTGCATGGAGCCTGTTTCTCCCTCTGCCTATGTCTCTGCCTCTCTCTCTCTCTCTCTCTCTCTCTCTCTCTCTGTGCCTCTCATGAATAAATAAATAAAAATTTTAAAAAAGAGTATATAACTTTCCCATACATTTTATAAGAATCATCACCAATGCCAAAACTTTTTGTCAGTTATAATTCTAAGTCTTTTTTTTAAACATCCTATCTCAAGTCCATTTTCCTCTTATGCCATACATTGTATTTAAATAATGACTGGGACCCTTTTGCACTGTTGGTGGGAATGCAAACTGCTGCAGCCATTTTGGAAAAGTGTGGAGGTTCCTCAAAGAGTTGAAAATAGAGCTACCCTATAATCCAGCAAGTGCACTACTGGGGATTTACCCCAAAGATACAAATGCAGTGAAACGCGGGGACACCTGCACCCCACTGTTCATAGCAGCAATGTCCACAATAGCCAAACTGTGGAAGGAGCCTCGGTGTCCATCAACAAATGAATGGATAAAGAAGATGTGGTCTATGTATACAATGGAATGTTACTCAGCCATCAGAAAGGACGAATACCCACCATTTGCTTTGATGTGGATAGAACTGAAGGGTATTATGCTGAGTGAAGTAAGTCAATCGGAGGACAATCATGATCATATGGTTTGACTCAGATGTAGAATATTAGAAATAGTGAAAGGGATTATAAGGGAAAGGAGGGAAACTGAGTGGGAAAAATCAGAGAGGGAAACAAACCATGAGATACTCTTAACCCTGGGAAATGAACAAAGGGTAGTGGAAGGGGAGGTGGGTGGGGAGATGGGGTAAATAAATGGGTGACGGGCACTGAGGAGGGCACTTGATGGGATGAGCACTGGGTGTTATACTATATGTTGGCAAATCAAACTTCAATTAAAAAATTAAATTAAATTAAATAATGACTGGGGGAGGTTTTATAGAATAGCCTAACTTTTCTAGTGTAATAGAAGTATTTTTGTAGTAGAAAAGATATAATGCTACTTTTTCAGGATAAAGAGAAATCAGGAAGGAAACTTTAATTTTGATCACTGAATTCAGTGAGCTATAAGAGTTGTTCAATCACAATCCAATAAGGTAATTCTATCTGGGGTGTTGTAGTATGAATTATATCTTAATTTACCCAAAATATTCTTTCTGGTAGAAGGCATGACTAAGAAGTTGTTGAGGAGATAAGAACAAAGAATAGCAATATGAAAACAGCAGAGTTTCATTGGAAGTGACCTCATTACAGGATATATGTATTAACTTTATATACAAAATGCCCATGAATGGTTCTAATCTGTGATGCAGAATTAGTATTTAAAGAAATCTCCTCCACAAATTAATAAGAACAGTGAAAATATTCAAGAATGGAGACTTAAAATGACTTCAAATGACCTCTTTCGGAATTAAAAAAGATGTGTTGAAACTTTAATCCAATCAAGCAGTCTGACCTGAGGAACATCTGGGGGTGCCTTAAAATAGCAGCACTGAAGTCAGAGAAAAAGTTTCCCACAATACATATGAAACATTTCTATTTTCCAGAAGTGTAATATTTACCATAACACATCTAGTATTAAATCAAGTGGGCTTTTTCCATAAATCAGAATTAAGGCCACTGCTGAGAAATGGCAAGAAGGGACAAAGCCAGTACATTATCATGGCATATTTTGGTGGTTCACAGGAAACCAAAACTCAGATTTCTCTCTGCCGAGAGAAATATTTGTACAGAGAACGAAAAATGACAAAGATTTTAGAGAAACAAACAATAGAGAAACTGGCAAAAAATGAAGTTAGTAACCACTTTCCTTGCTCCAATTTTGAGCCTGCCAAATCTTAACTCTGAGCCCCTGGCCCCTAGGAGACCTTTAATTTTTCTCTTGTGAGTTAATAATGCTGTTTATCACCAGTTTTGTAGTAAATTTAAATGGTCACACACCATTTCTGAGTGCCACAATACCTTTCCAAAAGCAACTTGGTCTAATTTTACCATCTTTGTCCACGGCTCAAGAAGGAGGAGAAGGATATATTCTTCTGCTGTGTCAAAAAGGTCTTCAAATGGTGGCTGTATTTTCATATAAATTTCTTTTTTCTTTTCCTGTTGGAGTCCGATGTCAAGAGTAGCCAAAGGAGCAATGTATGTGGCAAAAAGATACTAAAAGAGAAGGGGGGAGAAAGAAAGGAGAGGATGTTGGGACAAACCATAATTGTTAGTGGGTTCCTCAGTAATGGCATTTTAAAAAGGTTAAGAGAAGGAAGTGATTTTTTTTTTCTTGAAAAGATGCATAAAAACTACTCAAGTCAAAGCAGTGTGTTTATTCAAAAGGCTTCTCTTTCCTTTTCCTATTTCTTCATCGGTACTTAGTTAACTTGCCAGTGGGTCTTACACACAAGAGTCTATCATTTGGATATTCAAGTTTTTATCAGATTACTTCTATGTATAATTATAATGGATTCCAGGTTATAGGTTTCCTTTTCCCTTTATGTTCACGATATTTCTAACACATTAGTGGTACTTTCCAAAATGGTCTTAAATGCCCTTTTAAAAACAAAAGGCAATACACTAGGCTGAAAAGTGAGCTATTGGTCTTCTAGTATAGAGACCCAACAGATTACTTGCCCTACCCAAATGAGTTGCAGAGTTCTTAAGACTGTTACTAATTATCCCTTTCTGCTGTAAAAATATCTCCATCTGGTGTCCAATGCTGTGGAAGAGGTATGAGAAGGAAGTAAGAGTGAATGGAAAGATACACATGGAATTTCTAGCTTCCAAGAAAAAGCTGCATAAATGTCTATTCCATTCTTTTCATTTGTCTTTTCTCAAAATAACAGCTATTTACATCTGAGAAGTAATTTAATAGCATTTATTTTAAAAATATTACATACTGAGTATCAATATGTGTGTGTGTATATATATCTGTGTATCAGATTTTTTAAAGGTTTTATTTATTTATCCATAAGAGACAGAGACAGAGAGAGAGAGGCAGAGACGTAGGCAGAGGGAGAAGCAGGCTTCCTGTGAGGACTCGATCCCAGGACCCTGGGATCACAACCTGAGCCAAAGGCAACACTCAACCACTGAGCCAGCCACCCAGGTGCCCCTGTGTATCAGACTTAAATGTAGTTTTACTAACAATCTCTAATTAAATACATTTAATTTTAATTTTAGATTTTTTTACTTAGTTTTGGACCTGATAATGTCGATTCAACCCAGGTGATAGGTAGGTAGGTAGGTATTAGATAGATAGATAGATAGATAGATAGATAGATAGATAGATAGATAGAAATGTGTACCTAATACCAAATAATAGTCTTATGTGAAATAATCTTTTAAAAGTTTTAAAGGGTCCACATTAATGACATAAGCATTTATTGAGTATTTATAAACACTTGGATAGGTACTATATATGCAAAGATTAATGATTAAGATCCAATACTTATTCTGAAGGAACCCACTCATGGTGACACGGAGATGAAAGTCAGTCATTGCAATATAGTATGATAAATACTAAAACAGAAGTATGCATTGCAAATAAGATCATCAATGATTGCCCGTCCGTTATTTTTAAACTCACATCTCATTAATCATCTTTTAAATTTTACACTCAAATACCAATTTTTCTGTTATTTTCCTAAACCTTGCTCTTTTGCCATTCCATACCTTCAATCTTGGATATTCACCTTATCCCATGTACCTTGTCTGCTTGATAAACTCTAATTTATTCTTTAAAAACCAACACACAAAAAAAATAAATAAAAACCAACACAATTTTTCCTTCTCCAGGAAGCCTTCACTCACACCCTCCTCCCAAGGTCATTTTCTACTGTTATACCTACCACACTATAATGTAATTATGTATTATGTATCTTCTCTTCTAGAATGAGGTCCTTGAGGGCAAATACTGTGAGTTATTGTCATTCTCCAGTTCCTAAAACTGTTCTTGGCAGAGAGTAGATGCCATAAATGTTTACTGAACTGTACAAAATCCACAGAAAAGACTCATTTATGTCTTGGAATGGGAAAGGAAAAGATTCAGAAACTTTTCCAAGAGAAGATAAGCTTCTCTTATCCTTAATCCTTCAGCTGAATCTTTAAAGATGAGTTGGAGTCAATGAGGCAAGAAAAGGGAGTTGATGAGAAAGATGGTTTAAGAAGAAGGAAAATATGGGGTGTGGCATAAAGGCTTAGGGAAGTTTTATGACCTATGGAGAGATTCTAGGCTCCAAATAGATACACTGGCTAAAGGAAAGAGGTACAATAAGAGAGGATGTTATAAAGGGAGGCAGAAGCCAGAAGAACATGAATATTACCTTTTATCCACTGGTCAGGAATTTGAATTTTTTACCTAAAGTTACATAAGCTCCCTGAGGAATGACGTCATTGGATATGAATCTTAAAAATAAATCACTGTGGCATCAGGGAAGAGAAACAGTTTGAGTAGGTCAATATTTGAGGTAGTTTGGAAGTTATTTCAATAGCTAGATAAGAAATTATATGCCATCTTCCCCTCTTGCCTACTTTTTTTGCAACAGCCTCTTAACTGGTCCTCTAAGGTTCCTCTTTGCTTTCTTTTTTTTAAAAATTATTTTTATTTTTATTATTTTTTTAAGCAAGCTTTTATTTTTTTAAAGATTTTATTTATTCACGATACACAGAGACAGAAAGGCAGAGACACAGGCAGAGGGAGAAGCAGGCTCCCTGCAGGAAGCCCGAAGTGGGACTTGAATCCAGGAACCCAGAATCATGACCTAATCCAAAGGCAGACAGACACTGAACCACTGAACCACTCAGGTGTCCCAAGCAAGCTTTTATTTAGAGCAGATTCTTGCACCTTTAAAAGCTAGTTGGTAGGGAACCCTGGGTGGCACAGCGGTTTGGCGCCTGTCTTTGGCCCAAGGCGCGATCCTGGAGACCCGGGATCGAATCCCAAGTCGGGCTCCCGGTGCATGGAGCCTGCTTCTCCCTCTGCCTGTGTCTCTGCCTCTCTCGCTCTCTCTCTGACTATCATAAGTTAAAAAAAAAAGCTAGCTGGTAAAACTACAACTTAATATCTTGACTAATTCTTATTGCTTTCCACAGTAACTGCATAAATATCAAAGCTGTGCCCTCAGTCCTTTAGATTTTTAAAGGCATTTATATCAGAATATCTTATATTTGAGGGAAATACTTCCTATTCAGGTTGATTTATTCCATCTCTGTTCTTGCCAGCACTAACTCCCAAGTTTCCCAAATATATCTTTTTCACCATTCTAAGTCCTCTATTTTTTATTTTATTTTATTTTAGTCCTCTATTTTTTAAATTCATTTTTTATTTTCATTTTTTACTTAAATTCAATTAATTAACATACAATGTATTATTGGTTTCAGAGGTAGAGGTGACTCAACTGTCTTATATAACACCCAGTGCTCATTACATCACATGCCCCCGCTTAATGCCCATCACCCAGTTGTCCCACTCTTACCCCCCATCTCCTCCAGCATTCTCAATTCATTTCCTATGACTAAGAGTCTCTTATGGTTTGCCTCCCTTTGTGATTTCTTCTTGTTTTATTTTTCCTCTCTTCTCTTATGTTCTTCGGTTTTGTTTCTTAAATTCCACATGAGTGAGATCATATGGTATTTGTCTTTCCCTAATTGACTTATTTTGTTTTGCATAATACCCTCTAGTTCCATCCACATCATTGCAAATGGCAAGATTTCAATTTCTGATGGCTCAGTAATATTCCATTTCATATATATACATATATAAAATATTCTATTATATATATACACCAAATATAAATACATACACACCATATTTTCTTTATCCATTCATCTATTGACAGACATCTGGACTTTTTCCATAGTTTGGCTATCGTGGACATTGCTGCTATAAACATTGGGGTGCAGGTGACCCTATGGATCACTACATTTGTATCTTTGGGATAAATCTCTAGTAGTGCAATTGCTGGGTTAAAGGATAGCTCTGTTTCCAACTTTTTGAGGAAGGTCCATATTATTTTTCCTCTTTGCTTTCTGACAGTCTTTTCTTACCACAGCGAACAGAGAAATCCTTTTGTTAACACTCTGCTTCTCAACTCTTCAGTGACTTCTCCTCTCACATATAGTAACAGCCAAAGTCCTTATGACTACCTATAACTGGGATTTTTGGAAGTTTCTCAATACTGAGGGGACGAGGGTTATAGTTCAGGACCTGTAGGGGGGATGCCTCTGTAAATACTCTAGGGTCTCAAAACACCCTAACAGCAGAGCTGGACCAGGTATAGACTTTAGCCTTGACTCTTTAAAGTGCAAAAACAAAATAATTGCTAACCTGTATTTCTGTACCCAGCAAAAATACCCTTATAAAATGAAAAGAAAACAAAGATGTAATAAATCAACAAACAGAAGTAGACAATTCATCACCAGCAGACTGCACTATGTACATAAAACAAACAAAAGTAAGAGCAGGATGAAATAGAGAACAATAGAATGCATAAATATGTAGGAAGTATGGATAAATATTGATTGTAAAACATACTAATAATGAATAATTTCAGAGGAAATAGTAAAAGAGCCTAAAAAAGAGAAGTTGAGATTGAAGGGGCAGATTAAGGTGCAACTGAAATGATCCATCATGAACCCTACTATAGGAAGGAAAGCAAATGAAGTTAGAGTCAGGATAGTAATAATACAATATGTAGAGAGGAGTTTCAAAGAATGAGAGTGAATGGAGCACCTGGTGGTTCAGTCAGTAGAGCATGTGACTCTTTTTGTTTTGTTTTGTTTCAAGTTATTTAAATTCTAATTAGTTGACATATAGTGTAATACTGGTTTCAGGAGTAGAATTTAGTGGTTCATCACTTACATACACCACCCAGTGCTCACCACAAGTGCCCTCCTTAATATCCATCACCAATTTAGCTCATCCTCCACCCACTTCTCCTCCAGCACCTCTCAGTTTGTTCTCTATGTAGTTAATAGTCTCTTATGTGTTGCCTCCAGGGTTATGAGTTCAAGCCCCATGTTGAGCATAGTGCTTACCGGAAAAAAAAAAAGTGAAGATAAGGGAGAAGGACATGTAGAACAGGTAAAAGGGAGTAGTATAAAATTCAGTACATCATGAGGCACTTGATAAATATTTGTTACATGGATGAATGGAAGACTAGCATTCC